ATCTTAAATCAGTAGCTAAAAATTAGGTTCATAATCTTCATCAAAACAATGGAGGATTTGAAAGGATTACTAGGCGACGGCATCCAGATAAGATTGAAACATGTGTGTGAACTTAATGAACAATGTGTGAACCTAATGAACAATTGAAAAATTAGGTTCATAATCTTCATCAAAACAATGTSTGAACCTAATGAACAATTGAAAAATTAGGTTCATAATCTTCATCAAAACAATGTGTGAACCTAATGAACAATTGAAACATGTGTGTGAATCAAATGGGCATATTGTGTGAACCAATTGAACACATATGTGCACGAGTGAACATATATGTCGACGTTTGAGTGAACATGTGCGTGAACGGTTTGATCATTTTCTTCACTTTCGCTTTTAGTTTTTTCATTCTCATTGTCGTCGATCTGTTTTACTCTATGATTATCCATATTACTTGGACTATAATTGAATCTTTACAAAAGGGACTTTTTTGAAATTTACAATATCAAAACCATTGTTGGAAGAATGAAATGTAAAAATCAGTAAGATGAACAAATGTGAAASTTCATGTCATTATTACCTGAAGATCAATTAGTGATATTTTAAGATTTGTAACTCTCAATTAAAATATTGGGGAGTTACATAAAAATGACAAATTACCTAAATACCCTTACACTTAATATGTGAGTTACATTTGAACCTAACTAAAAGATGGAACATGATTGGTTGATGTTGGTTAACATAGTTAACACAAAAAATAGGTTAGTATTTGAACCAACACACACACACACACACATATATATATATATAGGCTAGTTCAAATGTTAACCAAAATTATCGTGTTAACTTTGTTAACCGATCTTGGCCATTGAATCTTTTAATAAACGGTTGTGATTAATCATGATAAAAACTTAATTGAGAGTTACAAAATCAAAAAAATCCCATGATTTTTGTTAATTTATTTTTGGTTAATGTAAGAATTATATGAACACAACTATATATATATATATGTGTGTGTGTGTGTGTGTGTGTGTGTGTGAACCATTGTGTCAAATACGAACAAACAATTGACATATATATGAACTTGGACTGCATAGCATTTATGAATACAATATGAACATAATAAGAATAGATGCTATACGAAAGAAAATAAATAAATAAAACAAGTATGAACACAATATGAACAACTTGTGAACAATAGTTCATTCATTATGAACACATTCAGGAGCGATCATTTGTCATGCATTGCATCCACATCATTTAAGGTTCGTATTACGATATCTCCTCTCGCCTAACTGAAGAGCCATAGAATCAAAATACTTTTTATTTGGTATTTCCTCCCTACTACATACAAACCATCTTGTTTGTATGTCTTCGTTCTTGTTTGTTTTTTTGGCATGAAGACGAACATCAAACCCGATATTGTCTGTGTACGTCCTGTACATTTTTTCCGCTTCATTTATAGATATGAATTGTGCGTTGATCTTTGGTTTAAGCTCGTCATTAACATTGGGGATAAAATACTTGCTTCCATTTGAACACTCTTCGACATCATACTCCATTTCATGTTTGAAAGGTATAAGTATGTGAACACCTGTTGATACCATCATAGTTAGTAAAATCAATGAACATTAATATTACATAACTGGAGTAATCAACTGCAACAACCAGAAAATAGATTTATTTGGTGCGAGTTAGAGCAATCATTAATGACCATGAGATGATTAATGTAAACATATATGAACAACACATGAGATCTATTTGGTTTGAGTTCACAAGCTGTTCATAGACTAAAATAATTGACATGAACATATATGAACAAATTGTGTATAGATTTATTTGGTGCGAGTTAGATCAATTATTAATGACTATGAGATGAGTAATGTGAACATATATGAACAACAGGTGAGATCTATTTTGTTCAAGTTCACAAGCTGTTCATAGATGAAAATAATTGACATAAACATATATGAACAAATTGTGAACATGATCAAGCCAATTAAGAAGAGAACATCGTATGTTCATATATGAACACATAACCCCCATACTATGAACACCCGGTTGATTCACTTACACAATCTGACATATATGAACACCAGGTGCAAGAACGATGTTTATATAAAGATTTGGGAGCAAATTTTTAACCAACGACTCGGTAAGTTGATATGAACATATATGTGAGATCACTAACAAAAACTGATATTCATATGATGGGGGTCATTAACATGAACGTTATATAGAACAAAGTTATGTTCCTCAATATTGTAATTTTAGATGGAGATATAAATTGTAAGATTAGAAAATTTAATTCCACTGTAATGTAAGTGTTTGATCTTGGGATACTAGTTTTCTTATATTTAAGTATTCGAAATATTTGGGATGTTACAAGTGGTATCAGAGCAAAGTTTATGTGAATTAGGTTACTGAAACCTAAACTTAAACTGAGAATGAAAGATTTTATTATTAATAGATGTGTGACTAAAGATTGATTTATAGTGATGAGAGTGGTGATTTAAGTTAATTTGGGGTTAGTCTTAAACCAAATTAAATCAGAGAAGTCGTTAGATGGTTTAATATCCTTGGATATAATGACATTGATAGAGATGTGTTTATGCAAAACACATGGTAAGATGAGATAAAATGGATGTAGAGTGGTGTTGGTGGATAAAGTTTTGGTGACAAACCCCACAAATTTGCTTTAGCGGTGAGAGCATATGTTTAGTTTTAAGAATAGTAAGAACTCAAAGTATTGATGATATAGTGAGTTGATTCATCCCATATTTGAGTTGTGGGATCATTTCGTATATCAATTGGCGGAAAGATCAAATAGTCAGATATAAGATTAGCAATGAGGTCATTCATGTAATCAATTGTGGCATCAGATGATAAGAACTGATGATCTTGATTAGGTGCATGACTAGTTGAAAGATTTTACAATCAAGAGTTGGAATGTCGAAATAATATGTAAATCATATGAGAAGATCTAAGGATTCTTACAAGATTAGTTTCTTTAAAGAAAAGACACCATATCGGTGTGTGAGATGCTTTTGGAATGTACGAGACTATGGTTGATTAGTCTTGTTGGAAACCATGATTTCATTATCCTCCATGTACCTTTTAAGAATGGTTAAGGTTAGGGGGATGATTTAACTGATTTGATTTGATGAAAGTAACTATTGTTGGTAAAAAAATTTAAATAAATTTTCTTAAATAATTTTCCTTTTATAAATTTTAAATTAATTTTCTTAAATAAAATTTTAAATAAATTTATTTTTTTAGTAAAATTACAATTTCGTCATTGTAATTGCCATAATATATATATATATATAGATAGGGTTGGGTTCACGTGAGACCAGTCTGTTTTCATGAGACCCGTGAGATTTTTTTTTTATACTTGAAACTTCACAGCAAAACGTGGTGAAGGTAAAAAAAAGCCGAACTTTTACAGCAAAAACACGGTGAAGGTTACCTTCACAACGTTTTGCTATAAAGTTTTAAGTGTAAAAAAGTGGTCTAATGGGTCTTATGAAAACAGGTTGGTCTCACATGATCTCAAGTATATATATATATATACATATATATATATATATGTGTGTGTATGTGTATGTGTGCGGGCGGATGGGTGGTTTCAGTTATAAACCACTTAATTCCAAGAAACTCTACAAACTAATGACGACTCATTTTGATTACCAACGGCTTACAGAAAGCGATGGCATATTAAGTATATATGTGGAGCAGGGCCATCCTTCGGCCAGTTAAATTTGGGATTTAGAACAGGGCCCCCAAAATGTTGGGGCCCAATTTTCACAGGCCCACCTATTGTAAATTTGTAATGTACGCTACCTAGTCTAACATCGGCCGAGTAAGTAGCAACGATGAACGGGAGAAATCGATTGAACGAGAGCGATTGAGCGAACCAGACGCCTCGATCTCCTATCTCCTCTCTATCTTGTCGATTGAATTCTCCAAAGATGGATAATGATTCGGTTTCAGATTTGTAACGACAACAAAAACAACAGTAAGATTTTAGATGATTTTTGTATAAGTATTTGTCGATTACTCGATACTCATTACTCAGATTGCTATTCTTTTATTCTCAATCTTATAATCTCAAGATTGGTTTGGTCGATTACTCAAATACTCGATTGCTTATTGCTAATTTCATCTGTGTTGGTCACTTGGTTGGTCGATTACTCGATTTTAACCTAATTGACTAATTCCTAAATCCTAAAGGTGAGATAAAGTATACAAGATTCTCTAAATTAAGGAATTCCTACAAGATTCTAAATTTTTAATGAAGCTTATTTAGTTATTTTTAGTGTGAATTTGTGATATTTTGAAATGTTTTGGCACAACCGCACAAAGAATGCCAAAAACAGGATATGTTCTTCTTGTTGGTTGCTTGTTGCTGCATTAGACTTCCTGCTTTATTCTTTTCTGGTTTATATTTTGTTCTTCTTGCTGGTTGCCTGATTTTTTTGGTTTACAATTTTACTACTTTATTCTTTTCTGGTTTATATGTTTTACTGTTTTGTTCTTTTTAAGTTGATTATGAAGAGCTTAATGAAGATTTTGTTTCCAAGAATGTGAAAAGAATGATTTTATTCAAGTGAAGTTTACATGTTAGACGTTACTTTGTCTTTTGGTTGCTTTTATTTGTAATACTTTCAATATAATATCAACTTTTGTATTTAACTCTTATTTATTTTTTCGGTCAATCTACTTATATTTTTTATAATAGTGTAACAGGCCTCCAAAAAGATTGGGACGACCCTGATGTGGAGTTTCTAGTTTAGTTAATATGAATACATAACCTGCACCCGTGTATTTCCGGTATATTAATTCGAAAAACAATCATCTAATTCCACCAAAAAGAGGGGATCATATCCCAAAGTGAATTGCGATTACACTAGAGCAGTTTTCTTCATAAATCCTCTTACCAAAATCGAAGATACAGTTTTTTCGACAATGAATCACCCACATAGAGGTTTGTCATTCTTATTCTACTTTCCTATCGGTATGATCAAATGTACTTACATTAGGTTCTTATGATACCTCGAGCAGTAAGGAAACCAAGCAAACGCATAATGATCAAGACTTCATTTTCGATTCAAAAACATGGGTGACAACTCAGTGTTGTTAGACGACCATTGTGAATCAGATAATGAGAACCCGATTAAGAGAATCAGCCGGAACTAGTGAACGAGAAAAGGATTCAGGAGGTATGTATTTGAAATTAGGGTTCGAGAAAGTTATGATTTAAATGGAAACTCGAAAATTCATTACATGCAGGTGAAAAAACTTAGTAATGTTATAATAAATTTTGTAGTAATGCTATATTTGTGTGGGTTATTTGGGATGATTGAGAGGCATGTTTCAGAAATTGCATTCAAATCAAGTTTGCAAAAACAATTTAGGGAAATTTTAAGTACGGAAGATTTTCACGATGGATGATAAAAATTGTGAGAATATGAATTCACGAGCATCAATTTCATGAATAGTGCAGTCTCACATGTTATAAGCATGCTTCTTATAGTTGTAAAATTTTCAATTTGGAGTATCATCAGAGTTCTATGTTACAATTCATTAATCCCCATTCTGATACTGTTTGTGTTATTCGGATCTATTGTTATTGCTAATCACCAAAATCTACAACTTATAAATTGACAATCATCATGATACAACACAATGGATTACAGAGTGAAGAAGCATTACCTTGCTGGTCAAAATCGTTCCAACAGTTGACACCTCCATTCTTTACTGGAACATCATCACCTAGATCTTCATTCCGACCTTGTTGATCGATTACTATGTCATGATTTCAAACACTGATTCATGGACGAACCAGAGTTCTCAACAGCTCTGAATTGATCAAAATCGTCAAACTCATTCATGACTAAAAAAATTAAAGAATTGAAGAATATCGAAAACCCTAACATGAACATGAACTCGTGTTTAAAGAGAAAACCAGAACGATGTGCAGTTATTGAAATTGATGGATGTCTCTTAAAAGACATAACTGCACAAAATAGGGAGAAAAAAATAAAAAAAGTAATTTTTTAACAATTTATAAAGTAATAGAAAAAAAAAAAGAAATACAGATGGTTGATTATGATTGGTAGAGATAGTAGTTTGTAGAGTTTGTTGAAATTATTGGGTTTGCATTTGAAATCCATCACTGAGTTACAGACACAGTTTGAATATGTCAAATTTTTATCATTGAGTTTGTTACTCCGCATTGTTCACAAAATTCCTGGTCTTCCTTTTGAGATATGCAGCAACAAGAAGAAAAAGAATTGCATAGAGTAAATGTATTTGTTTCACTCAAGATTGGTCAGAACTTCATTTAAATTATAATTATATATATATATATATATATATATAGGGTTGGGTTCACGTGAGACCATAGGTTTTTCGTGAGACCCATAAGACCAATTTATGTTCATTGATCAACTTTATAAGTTAATGATCTAACGGTCTAAATTGCACGGTGGCAATTTGGTAATTATTAAGAAATTTCGTGGCATTTATGAATGTTTAGATTGTCAGATTATAGATCTAATCCAAGGGTTGAGAATTGGTCTTACGGGTCTCATGAAAAACCATTGGTCTCACATGATCTCAAGTCTATATATATATATATATATATATATATATGATGGGTTTAAATGAAAACCCCTGTGATTTACGAGAACGCGAAAACAACCCAATAACTTCATATTGTGATAAAAAAATAAAATTAAAAGATTTTTAAAATTAAAATTGAAATTTAAAAAGATTCAGAAAATATTAAAATTAAAAAGGTAATAATGGAAATTATATCATCAAATATTTTAACACGATTACACGATAATCATGTGATAATTTTTTGGTGTAATCATGTGATATGAGTGTGATAATCACCGTTATACATCACTTGGGTTATCGTTTTGATTGATAAGTTAAATTTTTGGTGTAATCATGTGATATAGGTGTGATAATCATGTCAAATGGGTGTGATAATCACTGTTATACATCACTTGGGTTATCGTTTTGGTTGATAAGTTAATTTTTTGGTGTAATCGTGTGATATGGGTGTGATAATCATGTTATATGTGTGTGATAATCATGTGATATGGATGTGATATGGAGAAGAAGCATGAACGACATGGAGAAGAAGAAAACTAACAAGAGTAAAACATGGAAACGTGGTAGGATAATTAGAGTTAATTAAAATAAAATAAAAATTATAAAATTATTTAATTACATTACTGCCATTATTAAATTATTTATATATAACTAGTTGTCTACCCGTGCAATGCGGCGGAGTATAAGTTTTACATAAATGTAAGCGAGAATACCGATTGACAATTACAGCAAATATACACGTGATTGCCATAGCAAGACCAAACCAACTTGTGTCGATTTTTTAATTTGACTTTTAAATAATTCGTTTGGTCATTCAATCTTAATTCTCATACAAAGTATTGATTGTTTTATTTGATTTATTTACTTCTAGTTGCATACCGATGCGATGCAACGGGACACAACCACTACCATTGAGACAAAATAGCCACCGATACTTGCACAACCAATCAGTCAAATCCATTTTGTTGACATCCATTTACCATTGAAACACAATAGCTAACCGGTACATGAGAAGTTTTCTTTGGAAAAAATGCAAATAACAGACTCATATAACAAAAAACAAAATTTATAAATGGTTAAAGACTTTGAGCATTTGGATAAACGACCCTTAAATACCTCAATTAGAACTTATAAATTATAATCATAATTTACTTTTAGTATTGTTACCAGGTGATGTAATAGTCCATGTATATTCAACACTCCGTACAAACTCTAGCTGATGCTATAATAGCACAACTGTCACAAAGCAACCACACAAAAAAATTAAATTGACAAATCAATAAATCACGACGATAATTTTACAAGTAGCAAACAAATCAAGTAGCTAAAATGTTACCAACACAATGTTGCAGGAAGTAAAATTATTATAAACGATTATAAAAAGGGATGTAAACGAATAACATAAAACAAGATTAAACCAAACCTCAGTTTAAGCATTTCCAAACTGATATAAATGGATTATTGTGGGTTTCTAGTTCCCAAAAGATACCACCAATGGACTTTGGCCAAACCAACCAACTTCCATTAAAGGCAAAAAAACATCTGTCATCCAAATTAGATAAAAGTTGCAACATAAACAAAACAACCCGTAACACATACTACATCAAAACAAATGTCATTGTCTTATCATCGCTAGTCGATGCAACCAAATCCATAAGCATTGAAAATACCAAACCTGCAATGTGCCAACAGTGTCAGTGTCTTGTTCTCTGACATGTTCTACAGGTCCAATGTAATTGTCTTGTCCCATATCTTTCGCTGCCAATTGACATATCTGCAATAACAAATGCTAAAATCCCACAGAGATAAAAAAAAAAAAAAAACCAATAAACCTTATTCAAATATTTGCTTCATCCCATTTTCAAAATCCTATGATCACCTCACCAGAAACAAACTGATAATTGCAAGAAATGAATCAAATGGTTCGACGATTTATTTACAAATGATTGTTGCTAGAATTTTTTATATCTCTTCTTCCTGGGTTTGAATCAAACCCAGGCGGTGCCAAAGCCCATAGTGTTGAGATAGGTGCTTTATTTAGTTTGAGTCCTTGACTTGATAGAGTTGGATTATAAAAAAGGCAATAATAGCATCAAGCACGTAAATGATCCAAAGTTGTATATTAACATCAAACCCATCAGAGTTTATGTTCTTATAGGTGTTAACAAGGCAATATAAGGGGTCGTTTACCAAACACTTTACCGGTAACCGTTTACCGGTAAAATTCAACACTATCATTTACTTACCGGGTAAGATTATAGTTCACAAAAACGATATTCTTTCCAACAATTTACTCGGTAAGCGCTTACCGTGGTAAGAGTCATCACCCTCACTTGTCGGGTAAACTATTGTCCTTGTCTCGTTCTTACCGGGTAAAATTTTTGGTCCCTACCATATCTATCTAGTAAGATAATATGACTTGGTAAACTCTTACCCAAGTAAGCGTTAGCAAACACTTTATCGGTAAGCGCTTACGGGTAAAATTTAACATTATCATTTACTTACCAGGTAAGATTATAGTTCACAAAAATGATATTCTTTGCAACAATTTACTCGGTAAGCGCTTACCGTGGTAATAAGCCATCACATATGATTATTCCCTAAATCTTCAATATTTGTGACACAGCAAACAATACATTACAATATTCAATTTCTTCTGATTCAGATAAATCAATTACTTGAATGAATGTCAGGCAGTAGGCGCTAAAATTGATCTTGTTGCACAACATGTACTGCTATTAAAATCCAAATATCTCATTAATGCATGGGTCAAAGTTAGTCATTGTCATATAACAACTTTCAGTATCATTTTGTAAGCAACATACGAATGAACAAGGCAAAGAATAACGATAAGAGAAGGATCACACAAGAAAATACTTGAAAGAAATCACCCAGCAACACAAATCAACAATGGATCATTGGTTCTCGATTCCAATAACCCTAATATGCCCTTTGCAATGGCCTTGTAGCTACACAACACCATGTTTACCTCCCAAGTGTTCTAAATACAATCTATATGGTTGGGCACTCCCTTTCACTGCCATTTTAGATGATGTAACTATTCAAAACCATAATCAGAGATCTGTTTTGTCAAGGTCCAAAGTTCAGGACTGTAGATCTACAACCACCTTTGAATGAACAAGATACAGAGCATACCATCTAATCACATAAATATTGGGAATTAGTATCAAAGTTTCCTTTTATTCATGTCGGTTGCATAAAACCAATTTACTGCTGCTACTTCTAAGTACAGCTCCAAAAACTCAACTATCTGTGCGACAAACAATAAGTTTACCAGATCACAGTAATCAAGACCTAACATTTCATCTAAATTTGTAAATGAAGTCACCAACAAACAATACGAGATCTTTTGTCACTCACTCTATGTGACTGCCCAAGATCGGGGGATCCAAGATAAGATAAAAACAATAGAGGCATTCTTATCTGCCATCTATCCTTTTTTTCCTGAGAAAGAGAAGAATGCTAATCAAATAGCAGGAAAAGTTCAGGTGGAGGTTTACTTATGGATGTTAATGATTTGGTCAATGTTGTTCATTCATGGTTGTGTGATCAAAGTAGATTCATTTTGCTGTAGCAAAAATTATTTGTTGGTGTACATATTACCGAGGACACAAATCCAGAAGTGAACACTACAGAGTGTGATCCATGGATTGCTTAGATGGTCTTATGACATTTCCATGGATAGCGTGTACATAATATGGCATATAGAAGCTTTAATGTCAGATATTTATTAGATACAACATATTTATAAAGAAAGCAATAAACATGTTGGCAGATCAGTTGTGTGGGATCATAGTCTTATGGTAGAGATGTTTTGCCATCCCTCATTCTTTGCCTAGGGGTATTTCAAAGTTTTGCAAGAGGATGTTCAGGTCTTGTTACTTCACATTTTTGTTGTATAGAGGTTATTCTTGTATAATGCCTCTGGTTGCCACTTCGTCTTTTTACCTTTTCTGTAATGGAGCAAAACCATCTTGTCACTGGGTATCTATTAATAACATCATCTATGTGCTAGATTGTTAAGGTGAGCGACTAAGCCATGTTGCATTTTAAGCAKGGTTTTTGGCTTTCRTAACCCCTRTTGCACATATCATTGAAGCTTAGGGCCATCTTCCCAAATACTTACCTGGTAAGCACTTACCGGTATGAGTCAACACTATAATCTATTTTACCAGATAAGATTTTGTAGTATATTAAAACAGTATTGTATGCAACAATTTACCCGGTAAACGCTTACTTGGGTAAGAGTCCACAACATCACTTACCGGGTAAGAGTCCACAACATCACTTACCGGGTAAGACTCTCTATCCCTATCATCGCTCTTACCGGGTAAGATTTTCAGCCCTTACCATGTGCATCAGGTGAGGAAAGTTACCCGATCCACACATACCGGGTAAGTATTGATAAACGGCCCCTTAGTGAATTCCAATTGCTGAAACCCAAAGGAAAACATATCGTTGTAGAAAAAGACTCGTTTCAATTGAGTTTAATCAATCCTATTCCAAATTTTCCCATATTTTGCATGCAACCTAATTCGTATGCTAAAAACTGTAATTGTTCAGAATAAATAATAAACTTTTAGAAATGTATAATTAAAGGACAATTTTTGCCTTCCTAATAAAAGTTTGTATCCCATAATTAAAAGTGGACATATACCAGTATAAACCAAAATAAAAATACATACAAACACTTATTTTTAAGGGTGATTATTATTAGAATCAGAGCTCAGTGTTGTTTAGCATATAAAAGACCCCATGAATCATTCCATCAACATCTGAACAATTTTTTTATAATCTAAAGAATAACCTTAATCATTCAGAGCCACACATGTTCTCAAGTACATTATCTGCCAAACCTCTTAGGTTAAAAGGACTATAGAAACTGGTTGTTTCACCCAACAGACTTATAATACAATTAAGGAGCATCAAWCAGTGATGTACTTTGATGAATTATGGATCCAGGTAAATGATTTCGGCATGTACAAAAGCTCGTCTGAACCATAGCAATTCTTTCATCAACTCCCACCCACCCTCTTGAGAAGCAGGTTTAACAGTCATCCTCTCTAGTATTGGCGAAGTTTCAAACAAAAAATTGATAAAATTCAGCTATCTCGGAACCCCAAAAATCCCAGCACCGTTGCCCCTTTTCAGTGCATTTCTATACAGTCTTGTTGCACTAAATATAAAACCAAATTTTATAGCAAAAATACATCTGTATTCGATATAACCATATTGCCTTTTTATTCATTTATATTATGTTCATTTGGAAGGGATTTCACCTCATCAAATATATATAACTAAGTGTAATTTCTTTGCAGTGTTAAAATAAAGATAATAAATGATATAATCTCTAGCAATGCAGGCTCTTAAAAATCTCTTTACACATTTGACTCCGCCTATAAACCTATATAGATGCATAAGAAAAGTAACTGCAAAGGAATAGAATCTTATGCAGGATGCAGATTGGGCCGAGTGAATCGAAGATAAGAGGTCTACTTCTAGATACATACTTTTGTATGAGGGAATCTAGTATACAGGGACTAATAAGCTAAGCGAGGTTCCCAACCTAAAGGCTTTATTCAAAGGTGGGTCTTTCAACTCCTTCTCTTTTGATTTCGATTGAAGGGTGCACTACAAGAGAATC